GTCACGTGACCTTAATGAATAGCCCCATAGCAACCCTCAGCTCAACTTTTCGCCCCACTCGGACCCACACCTACTATCAGCTTAGCCACAGTCTTCAATATCAGTTTATCTGTAACCTCATAGTGAAGATGATACCGAATAGCAAGTGTCACCGTTTCATTCACTCATCTACGGAGAATTATTGTTCTGGGGAACGTGCGATGCCGTATGACCTCTTCATGATGCAAATCTAATATTAATTACTTCGTACTTCCTTGTGTCTTGTGTCTTGGAGGATGCCTGATTTCATTGGGAACAGTGCCAACTGAGAGAAATGACAAATTCAAGCCTTGGCGGCTCTTTGACGCTTCGTCTCTAGGCCCGGCCTTAACTTCCCCTGGCAATCCCATGACATCGGGATTCCACCGATGGCGTGTTTGGCGTGTCTGGCGTGTATGATAGCCCCCCACGCCGTCGCCCGCTCCCACGTCGTCTCCCGCCGTCCCACCTGCACGCTTTGCTTACGGAGTTGGTTTTAATTTGGCAGTTGTGAAAAATGGGTGACAGACCCGGCATAATGATGCATAATGTGGGGGAGGAGACCAGGAGTCAACGTAGGAATAGGAATTCAAAAAAAAGGGACGGTTCAGGTGGAGAGCTATCTCCGGAGAACTCTGACAATGTCTTGAAGCTTATTAGGTAGGCAGATTCGGCAAGGACTTGGACGGTTCGACCCCAGATGGACACGATTTCGCAACGGCTACGAGATGGGGTAGGAGAAAGTTTGCGTGCCAGCTGACCATTTGAGCAAGCCTCCCCCGGTCAGTGGTGAAATTACCTACCGAACCGAAATAAAAAAATAAAAATAAAAATAAAAAGAAAAGGGGACAACCAAGTAACGACGTTATTACGGGAATCCGTGCGGTCAGATAGTTCTAGACAAGTACCTTACATATCTAGGTAGGTAGATACGTACCTAGTTTGAGGTCCACTAACATTGGTTCTGCCTGAACCTGTCGTGCCTTCTTTTCCTTGACCTCTCTCTCCTTTGTTTACATATCTGGACCCTCTCTTTCTCCTTGCCCAGTGCATGGCTTTCTCAGGTTGCAGGAGGATCTGGGGATACAGGATTCCTCCCCATATGTACTCCATCATCCATGGGAGCACTGGGCACATGCATGAAGTTCCCGCCAGCTCAGATATAGAAGGTCCGAGCTTCCCGTTACACATAAAGCCCGCCCTGGAGGAGAGGAACATCGGGAGAGTCTGGAACCGAGTCTGCAAGGCCTGCCGGTAATCTCGGTGTGTGGGGACCTTCCACCACATGATCGTCAAAGTCATTAATAATGACAGGTGGAAGATACTTGGCAGTAGGGGGGGCGGGACGGGGAGAAGGGAACAGAGTTATCCGCAACTCTGTACTCTGTACTAGTGTAGTAATTACTTTGAAGATCCGAAAGGAATCATCCCGCTAATCCCATGACAAGTTGGTGCAAGTTGGGCTTCTCGAAACGTTCCCAGTGCCTATACCATGTACGGATAACTACGAAGTACGGAGTATATGTTTTGTGGAAGGGCTTGTGATTCATGGGCGTTTTTATTTTAGATGCCCAGAGACAATAAAAGCAGTAACTGAAAATCCTTGACCCCGCAGAGGACAACTTGAGGCGGATGGGAAAGGCTTTTCTTTTGTGGTAACGACCGCGTAGCGTCCCGATGTCGGGAGTTTGTGACTCGCGAGAAGCTGTCTCTCGCTGCACAGGCACTCCTTCGTCTGGTGTGGCAGCAGTCGAGACATCGGTGCCGAGTAACGGATTACGGGTACGGTTACGAATGCCAGGAACACCTGCCAATAGCGGTGAGAACCGACGACTCTGAATAGTACGGAGTACGAAGTGATTACAACGTACTTCGTAGAGCCCGGGCCCATTGAATTGTTGAGCTGTGGCTTGGTGGGGCAGATGGGGAAAATGCATGGGACGGGGAGAGATGGATGGTAGTACGCGAAGGGGGGGGGGGGGGGCAGGGCTCGAGACAACGACGCGACGCCCTTGCCTGCCTCCCCCTATGTACAATGTCCATATACGTTCCCGTATCCCTGTACCGTTCCGGGGAGAAAGCTCAAATAAGGTGAGCAAACGGTAGGAAAGCTCAGATCACGAATGTCACGACGTTGGTGATGGACGCGGAGCACACCGCTCGCTCCTTGTTGTTTCAACACAAGGCCCCGGCATGAAGGATGAACATCCGCGAGTCTTGAGTCGTCCTCCACTGCCAGTGGGCAGTGGGGTAAAAAAGAAGAAGAAAAAAATACAAACCTTCTTCCTTTTTACATCTGTCCTGCATCTGGCATTACACGTCTTGCGTTTGGTTGCTGCATGGTCGGCCGAACACGATATGATGCCCGTATGACCTGCTTTTTTTCTTTTCTTCTCCTCGTCCTTACAGTAATGTCGCGGGTGGATACATCTCCGAATAGGAAGGTTCTACTGCCTTTGCCACCTACTCGGTGCGTGGGTGGGTGAATGAATTAGACATGGAAAAGGGTATTTGGCAGTTTATCATGGTATTTTCTCGACGTAATTTGTTGGTGTTTTCGGTACCTACCGTAGGTAGATAGGGTGGGTTGAGTCGACGGTCAGCCGGAGCAACCAACCTACCTCCACGCTTTGGGATGCTCTGTTCTCCCATCCCACCCATATTCCCCCATATTTTATTTTATTTGTTTGTGTTAGCATTCGCATTCCTACCTAGGTACCTAGGTATCCAAGTTTGCCCCCAGCTGTCCGAATTTGAACTGCCCTGGTTATCAGAATTCCCCGAGTACGGAGTACGAAGTACATATCCGTTCTTTTTTTCTTTTTTTCCATCGCCACAGACACCTGGGGAGACCGAATCCCGACCCCAATGTTCACCCCGATGTTGCAGGACACCACGCAAGGGTACCTTAATTAGGTACCGAGAAGACTAGCGGGATCTATGGAGAGATCGTCCCCCTTAACGCCGAAAGTGTCTACAACGTAGGTATTTATTCGCTTCTTCTTTCTTTCTTTCTTTCGCATCTGCTCACCGCTCTCGCACCGGTCCACAGGCAGATGCCGGTCCACAAGATAGCAAGACATATATGCTGTTAGGTAGTTAACGTTCATACCTACCTAGTATACCAGTAATACGTAAGGTACTTGATATCATGACGATGGAGAGGCCAATGCAAAGAAACTCCGGTCGACCCCCACATGAAAGCAAAGATGAGCAGCGAGACTCGGGGGAGGAGAAGATGGAACTCCAGCAGCAGTCCAACGCCGATCCCGTGGACACTGGATGAGAGATGAGGTAGATAGATACGTTGTACGTTGTACATACGTAGGTATGGGCCGGTGGGTGTTAACTCGTGGCCCTTGGTGCTGGAACACTATATCTTATAACGCCTCCGCGCCTGCGTGCTCCAATTCCTTGCAATGTCGGGGCAAGCCGACACGCTAGAAGCTGCAGGATGGCTCTGGGGTTGCTTGGGATGGGAAGCGAGAAGGTGGAGAACGAAGACAAAC